TTCGCAATTAATATTTATTGCAATTTTGACAAAGGTTCTCATGCCACCAGTCTTGGCAAAATCATCAACCAAATGATATTTTTCCGCTCTCATACGTTCTCAATATCACGCGTGATATTGGACCAAAATGTTATGCTTGATATTGATTTTACAAGTTCCTTTGATATTGCGAGACTATTCACAACGTGCAAAAATCTAGCTGAGAGTTGACTCGACACAAAAATGATTCCGTTGCACATCGTTTTCTTAGAAAGAGAAAGTCTAGTTTGCTATCTCTTTTTACTTTTCACCGATGGCAGACACGAAGGGACTGCTGTCAGCCGCTATGGAAGTTTCGGTTGCGTTCGGGTGTAAAGCAAAGCAAAGCTCAAACTCAATCTCACCACAGTTTGGTGAGATTTGCAGCTGGTGAGTTTTGTTAGCTTGATACTCTGAGCTGCGATATCACAGCTTGCAAAATCAACAGCAGTTGCTTGCTTGTTGATTTTTGTCTACGAAAATCAACCGTGATCTTGCGCATTGGTGAGATTTGATTTTTTGATATTTTCTCAACACTGCATGCCACATTCATTTTTGTAATGATGTTTTATTTTGAATTATTTGAAATGATGCTAGCAACCTTGGGAAGCAATATTCTCGCGTTTGATTGATAGTTTGGTCATAAATAGACCCAGCTCGTAAAGCAGTGTATAAGGTAGGAATGTGTTCGGAATCATATTTAAATAGGCAATGAAATTAACATTGTATTTTTGAAGTGTGTTTGTGTAATGTTTCAAGAAGATGTGCATTTGGGACCCAAATCAAAATGACACTGCACCTGAATTAAGATGGGTGGTTTTTTATTATAATAATATAATAAAAAAGGGTTTTGTGAGCTGTATGACAAGGTAAGTGTTTTATGATTTTGTTTATGGTATTTCCTTCTTTCACTGAGAGTCGGAATGATTACAAAATTGGGTGAATACAGTAGTGATTCTCAAACACACAGATACTCGCAAAAATTTTCAACTTGACTTCCGCCTGAAAGCGTTTTAGAGCTCGGTCGAGAATGCCTAAAAGTTGAGGAATATTTTTTGCCACCATACTCGATCCAGATCGAAAATCATGGTTCAAACTTTCGAGGAGATAATTCTGTGCAATTCTCATAGAATTACCTCCTCGAAAGATTCAAGTTTTTGATTCTCTTTTACTAGACACAGGGATAAACCTTGATATTTAAGGAAAATAAGTAATTGTAGTAACAATTCTAGAGAAGGCTACATTAATCCTAGAGGGGGCTGTAGCTCCCCTAGCCTCCAAAGGTAGGGTAACTGATGATGGTTGGACCTATTTAGGCCGGTTTCACACGACGTCAATATTCATGACGTATTTTTTTTTATGAATTCAACATATAATTATGAAAAATGCGTGATTAGGGGAAAGATCTACCTTTCTTGTTTCTAATAATAACATAAAAAGTTAAATATTATGAACAAATGATTTTATAAAACGTTTTTATTCAGCAAAGAATTATGATCTTGGTTGGACCTAAAAAATGATGATGGTTGGACCTATTTTTGCAAATGCTAGTTTAGCCCATATTTGTTCAAAAACTTTGTTTAGAGCTTATTGGTATCATGAAAAAACTCTTATTATACAGTTTTTATGAATTTGCTATTTAAAAAAATCAAGAAATTTGAGTTTAACTTCGTTTTTAAAAAAAAGTTCACTTTCCACGCATTAGCTATTCATCAGGGCTCATTTTCTCGGGAATCATTGATCCAATTTGGAAATTTTTTTAACGTCAAACTATAGGTATTGTGGTCCCATTGTAAGCTATGGAATATTTTTGGAATCGGTCAACTGGTTCCAGAGATATAGCCGGAACAAGTTCCAGGGTATATGGAACATGGACCTAATTTTGACATGGAAGGAATAACACCTATCATGCAACACTTTTCATAACTTCCAAATTCGATAACAAGATCAATAACAAAATTGAGTGCCTTGGACCACATTGGCCTCTTCCGGGCCTGTTCTGGGTGCCCCCGGGGAATTTAGGGGCTTAAAATGACAGAATATCAGAACTTAATTCCGGTTTTAAAGTTTTTTTTTCAACTAGGAGTTTTTTTCGGAAATTAGTTTCAGATAGCAATTTTTAGTTTGTTAACATTTTATTTCAAGTTAATTCACACACAAAAGTAGTATGTGAAGTGCTTAATGTAAATTCATATTAACAGATTCTTTCGGCGCTTCCGTGGTAGTTCGGAAATCGGTGGTTACCCTTTCAGCCAACCTGACGATGGAATTCCTCCTTTAAATTTACGCCCAACTAGTGACGCAAGGTCTTTAGCAGCTTCCAAGATCTTTTTGGCCGTCTTGGGACTGCCAGAAGCAGCGCACATATAAACCCAATCCCCTAGCTGGTTCTCCAAATCAACACTCAACACTATTTCCCTTCCATATTTCTTGCCGTGGCTTCCCTTAATTTTTGCGTCGTTTTCGGAATATTGTACCTTTTCTGTGCCTGATACGCGGTAAGTGATTTATTTCTTACTAAAAGAAAAGGCTCTTGAAGATTCTCGACCGTATAACTCTTTTCTTTAGCCATTTTTTCAATCGAAGAAAATAATCACTCGGAAAAAACGAAATCGAATTTCAAATCAGCTGCGCATGAAGGATGTAGACAAACCGAAGCGCACCTAGCGGCCGTCTTAGGAAACACATAGGTCCAACCATCATCATGTGTAGGTCCAACCATGATCATATTTATCTATTCGAATTTCGTCAATTATTCAAACATTTTAGTGAAACCAATGGATAAATGGCATACTAACGTGTTGTTTACACCTTAAAGCAGTATTTTACTGCATGAAAATAAAAATAAATGTGAAAAATATTACCTTTTTGTATGTTTGAAAGTAAGGCATGATGACGAGCTAATGCGTGAAAAGTGAACTGTTTTGAAAACACATTGAGACTCAATTGCTTTGAAGTGTTTTCAATAAAACACCCATGCAAATTGAAGAAAAAGAGTTTTTTATGATAGTAAAGTGATCTTTGAAAATAAAAACTTAGCGAAGATTGACTAAACTAGCGATTGAAAAATAGGTCCAACCATCATCAGTTTTTGGATAGGTCCAACCAGAATCAATTGCCCTACTCCAATGCATCGATGTCGCCAGGATTGACAATCGTTATTCGTAATGGCTTGATGTTATGTAAGGAGCTCAGTAAAATGTCACAAATGCTCCATGTGGGCTTGAAAACATTCTTGAGTCCTGCCAGGAACATCATTTTCATTTGAATAGCTTCATGTTGCTGAGTTTGAACGATTGCCGTTGATAATTGTTTGTTGTGATGTTTGGGGCTCGGTAGCCTGGTGGCGTCCGTTTTTGCTAAGATCGTGGGTTTTGCCCTAGGCCCCTTTACACTGATAGGGTCGCATCATTGGCATCAAAAGATCGAAAATTTTATTCGTATGAATTTCGAAAAACTATACATTATATCAAAACCACGATTGCATCAATTATTAAGTTGCATCCAGATCCAACAAAATTTCCGATCATTTAACCTTTGTTGGGACTCAGAAGCACGGTCTCAAAAACAACATGGCGTGATCCTATGCACCTACCTGACTACACCGCTCGTTGTGCATTGATAAACTTAGAAACGTTAAATGAAAGGCGTAAAATGATTCAGCAACTATTCATTTTCGACCTACATGGCGGAAACATCGATTGTCCTCAATTGCTCCAGGAAATTTCTCTCTATGTACCACCGCGGCAACTAAGGAGATCTCCTCTCATTGCTGTACCGGCACATAGAACCGTCTATGGTCAGAACAATCCACTAAATTCCTGCTTGAAAGCCTTCAACGACGTTGGTGTTCATTACGATTTTACTATTTCTAAGAATGTTTTTAAAAATAGAATTAAGAATATGTAGAGTAGTCTGTAAGATTCAATCGAAGACGAAACAACAATAAATAAACAAAGGTTACTCTAATATTACTTTCTCACTTCCACTTGATTGCAAACACGTAGAGTCACTGAAACATATACAATAAGAACGGACGATCACTCCCAGGCCCACTCAGTAGATTCGTTGTGCCATTCCACCGATTGCTATCAATTACCGAGAAGCATTCATTTATAAGTGCAGTCAGTCTAAGCGAAGTCAAGCTGAAATCGTTCATATCTTCTAGATATAAAGGGTGAAGGATAGGGTTAACTACCCCATTTCCGGCCTATTAAGCACAACCCGCACTTAGTATTTCTTAATCTAGTGCATTTTAACATCAAACGGAATATTATTATTACTGATGGCTTCCAAATTTATTTACCTTTCCGTATGTACCGTAGGATTTGATAAAGAGATACCAATCGTTGCGACATTGTCAAAAGTCTAACACTGCTTCTTGACGCCAAACTCGGCCTACGGATTCTAAACTCGGCCTAACGCATTGAAACGCCAATGAAACGAAAATGAATTCACTTCGGCCTATCGGATGCAGATAAAAATTGATTCGGTCGGAGCGCTTCTTTTGTTTTTAGGAATAATGGGTGCAAACCTTCATATCACGCGTTCTCATTGACTTCGTTCCGTAGCTTATTAACTAAAGTATCGTACCAAACGTATAATTGACTTGTTAACTCTGAAATCATGGATTTGTTTGATGTTTTCTGCTCGCGATTAGGCCGAAGTAGTTCTCTACCCTACTTAAAAAAATCTTGTTTTCGATACGTAATAACTCTATGGCTTAGTTTTAATTTCAATTCTAATTAAATCCATCTAATAAAATAGAATATTCAGGTCAGGGATATGAAAATCTCAATTTATTGAAATGCGTACCCAAGCCTCAAAGAAAATCCAAATCAAAGCACAATTTCTTATGTCTGAACGCTTTCTTTCACATGAATTATTTTGACACAATTTCATACTTCAGTAGACGTATTAAAATGTCATGTTCCTTCACAGCTGCTGCAATAATTTCTCTTTCCCATTTCTTTTTTGTTTAGATCATTTTCCCGCAGAAGGAAAAAAAAAGCTGAAACGTCCTCATCTGCATGCGCAATCAAGTGCAACATCAAACCATTTCTGGCGGAGCAGCCAGAACATTGTGAATGACAATACAATAATCGTAATCATCAACTGAAGACTTTGATGACACGAGCAACGAACGAATGGAAACTCTGTTTTTCAGATCTTGTACATTAATCTCACTCGAGATCAAATACACTGTGTAGATCAAAGTGAAACGAAATTCACCCATTTCTCTCAGTTCCATAAGGTGGCGGAAAACTATCGCTAACGTGAAATATTGCGGCGTTAAGTGTCGTTCGGTGGTGCAATCATTCTCCGACGGAAATTGCGTAATTTCGTAACTTCATAATTCAGTGCAAAAGTGTATAAGCTCTCCTCGGTGTGCGTCTGTATCTATCTGACTAGGCTTTCGGTCGAAAATAATAAATATTTACATGGTACAACATAATTCCGACCATAATCCGACCTACACACTTCATCAGGCTGGTAAACAGCACATGGATAGATTTGCGTGATTCCCATCGTGTCGAGGTGAACAGTCAACAACGAAGACTGCTCCATCCGGTTTCCATCGCTTCTGGTGGATGTAAGTTGGCAATTATTAATCAACCGTAAATGTGTGTGGAGTGTCTACGACGACGGCGTTTGTTTCCGGGATTACCGAACCGGCAAAAGATCACGGTTCCACTTCGTAAATAGCGTATTCCTTTTCGAAGCCATTATCGCGGAGGACAGCTGGAGTGAACTGAGCACAGGTGAGAGCATGATGATTGTGCAATTACTACAACACATTGAGCCATTTAAATGAATAATGACATCGACGAAGAGAGAGTGACACAGAGAGTCCCAGTTGGCAGTTTGTCCTTCCGGATGCCGTTTCGTTCATGTGATTTAATGGACCTAGTACTCTTAAGTTACATAATTATTAACCTGTATGCTACGAGCAATGGAAGCCGTAATCGAGGAAAACTGTTTGCTATTCACACTTTAAGATGTACATGTACCTACCAATGAAAATGGTATGTTGATTTGGGATATGCTTAAGTACATGTGACATCAATGTCACGTTTGAGTGACACGTAGCAGCTGATTTCACCTGCTCTACCACTTTGCATTTTCAGGGGCACGAACTGCATCATCGTAAGCCTAGCAGATCTGAAAATTTAGCTCAACGCTTTTGCAGCAAACATTGAGTAATACTTTCAGCTTCGTAGCTAGTATTAAGTAGATCGTAAATTGTATGCCACCAGATTGGGGGTGAGTTGAATCAACTCACTTGAACCGTGTATTACTGGCATAAGAAAAGGCGTCCGTGAATCATGGCCCTAATTTCAATAGAGATACCAGAAACACCATCACAGCAAATCATAAAAATTACTACAGTCAACTCTCCCTTACTCGATATTTTAGGGACCATCGACTTTGTTTACAGAACACCAGAAAAATATCATTGTTTCTAAATTCCTTCACATAATCAAAAACTATATTTTTTTTAAAATATGAATTAGCCAAGTGGAATATTTTGTTAAGATTTCTTGACTAAAAATCACAAAATCTATTGAATAGAGCACAATTACGCCAAATTTCCTATCGCAATGAAATGTTTTACTGCTTTCGCTTTATCTTAAAATTAAAAAAATATATACATTATTGCATCGAGAGGTGAAAATACATGGAAAAATTAATCAGAACATATCGAGTAAAAGAGGTATCGAGTCAGAGAATTATCGAAGAGAGCAATGCTTGCTATATAGAAGGAACTTTGAATTTCATCGAGCTAGGGAGAATATCGGGATACAGAATATCAAGTAAGGGAGAGATTTCTGTATCCCATCAAGGACGATGCACTTCAACCACATCGAAAATATGGTGCATTAGTAAATGCCACGAAAAGAAAAAAAATATTCGGGCTGCGAATGTATGGAAATTAGGGTAAATCAGCCTATTATGAACTACCTAGTAGCTATTTATTCCATTTATGCAAAATTAATGACCTATATATTATTATTTCACCAGTGTTTTCAATAAGATGCAAGTTTATATTTTATTTAGTGTGATTAATAAGTCAAATAAATAAATTACTTTATTTTAGCCACGAAAATCTGCGTTATAAATTGAAGTCATCAATAACATTTTTGAAATATCCGCGGTCCACCATAGGATTGTTTACATCCCATGAAGAATCGTCCAGAATAAAATCACGTTTAACATAATAATTCAGCTAACAAAGAAGGTAATATCAAAATATGGGCTTGACTTATATATAATTCAATCTTAACACAGGAAAAAACGATGTTCGGCCATTTGGCCAAATGCCGTTTGGCAACATGACGTTTTGCCGAACGGTGTTTGGTCGAATGTAATTTGACCGAATAGATAATTTTGCAGAATTCTGGAGAAGATTTCATAAATTTTCGAACAATAATAGCTTCCTGAATTGAAGTTCGGTATGGTTCTATTTGTTATGTCATTTTGAGATTCAAAACTCCTAGCTTACTGGAATTTTACGGTGCGAGACTTAAAAAATCCATGATGCAATAATATTATCACTAACAATTTTAATATTTTAGACATGCTGAAGATTGCAAAATTTTCAAAATGGTGCATTGTGAATCAATCAAAATAGTGTGTTCGGAATAGTTAAACTATTCTTTTATACATGAGTTATTTCATTAATTTACGTCATTGGCACGGATTTTAATATTTTCGATATTTTTGACAATCCGATAACTTTGGAAAATATAGGGGAAATGACGGCTTCGGCATGCCAGACTATTTTCGGCAACCCAAATTGAAACACTATTTTCACTGGATTTCCTTACGAAAACACTCCGCTAATGCATGCAAACGATTCTTTATGCTTTCAGCTTCAATTTGACTATATTTTTACCACTGAGAAAAAGCAATCTAGCAAGGTTTTCTTGAAATGAAACACACGCACTACAAATTGTAGCTGATTTCGAGTTGCCGATAATAGAACAGCAGATTTACATGCAGTTCAAATGGAACGGTTGCCGAAGAAAAACTGGTTGCCGACAATACTCGCTCTCACTAGAGAAGATTGGAGCTTTGTAAAAGCGTTTCAAAACAGTTTTTGACAATTCTTTCGACTGAAATTGTTAGAGCAGCTGGCAGCAAAAGATTGTAAACAAACCAATACTGCATATGTGTGCGTTCCTTAGAGAAAAAGGCTATAGAAAGAAGGTCGCTGCTTAGGTTGCCGAGAATACGTAAATTTCCCTACGAGATTAAACGATTCAAATACATGAAAAAAAAATATGATAATTTTAGGAGATGAGCAATTGGGGACGGCGTAGTGCAGTGGGTAATGTTTATACAGTGTATCTCAAAATTGAGCGTACAGCTGTCCTTCAATATTAGAAAAACGGTTCTAAAAACACAAGTTATAACGAATCGCCTCTAAATTTTTGGTTACTAAGTCATCAAACATTTATCAATTATTGGTAAAGTATTGGTCATTGGTGGTTTCATTTTCAGCAACCTCAGCTTCGTGAGGGCTGATGATTTTTTGTCCGAGATTGTGAGAGCTGACGAAATGTTGACCTATCGCGGCACCCTTCTCTTCAGGTGTTATCAGGTTTACCACTGAACCGTCGGGACCATTCAGTGGAGCCAGCATTGGAATGGGCCCCGGTTTAGTTTTGAGGACTTTTGTTAGTTTCCAAAAGGGTTTTGCACAATCTGGGAGGGAACGGATTTTTCTTTTGGCAAATTCTTATTTCTGAGTTCCACCACTTTGGCTTTGATATGTTTGGTTAGATGGTTGGAATGGGTCTTCAAGGTAGGCAGTCCAGTTCTTTGTTACTGCCTACGCGTGGCGTTACGGAGTCTGATTAGGCTTTTAGTATTCTGATCAAGGTTCAGGGAATAACTCACCCTTCTGGAAGCTGACAGGTGTTGTTCCCGGGCATTGGATATCGTTTCCTCGACGGCGTACAGAGATCTATCGATGTCATCAGTCGTCTCCAGTGGAACACCGAAATCGATGGCTTACCCGACGGTAATTCCGAGGGGAAGCATAAAATCGATTAACGGAGGAGCCAACCACAGCCACCACCGAAAAGTGGTCCAAGCTTAACTCTTAGTGAGCTTGGGAGATGTTCTCCATGTTGCTGACGAATATCTCGATGATGGAGAGCACGCCGGAACGGCTCAACCGGGTGGGAGCGTCCGCGATAGTATAGATAGTGTCCCAAGTAACACACAAAACATCTTTCTGAAAAAGAATTAGAACGACTTGTTGTATTAATGTATTATAAGTGATGCATAAAACATCCTATGTTTTACATGAGGTTTATCTAATCTAATCTTATATAATCTAATCTAATCTAATCTAATCTAATCTAATCTAATCTAATCTAATCTAATCTAATCTAATACAAACGCAGCCAGTACGAGAAAGCATCCTGGAAAATGATTAGGTTAGATGAGGTCTATTCATTTTTCTTGTCTAATTGATGTTTACAGCATATCTGAGATATGATATAAACATCAAAACGGCCAGGCCTACTGCGTTGTATTTGCCGCAAAGATGATTCTTGGAAATAAATGGGAACATTTCTTGAATCTACAGGGGTGGAAGGATGCGTTTACATACCGTACCAAACGCTCCGAGTTACTGTGTGTAGTTGTGTGTAATGTGTAAATATTTGTACAATATTGAAGAATCATGAAATAATGCAATGGAAGGATCTTACCCAATTTTTTCCTATGTTGGTAATGATTCTTTTGCGCTGAAAAGTTTCGTTGGATGCATCCGCTCCTTGTTTATCATGGGGTTTGGAATGCAGTTCCTCGTCATTGCTCGTGGTTATGTTTAGTGATGTGATTATTTCTTTCACTAGAAACTACTACCCCTGGCTGATCCACCAGCCTTGCATCGAGCTGAAACCGCAAGCAAGCAAATCAATTCTAGATAGAGCTGGAATTAGAGCCTAACAGCTTTTGTAAACAATGACTTCTCTTGATGATTTCTAGAAATTCAAGGCTCGCCCACGCAAACCAACATCCTCATCGGGTAGGGAAAGACTTCCACTATCCGATGCATTGCAATGTTTCTAATTTACTATCCAATTTATTTGCCGCTGGTTTTTATGATGTTATGTTATGACCTTTGGAGTCATTCAAACAATCGCATCGTTCAACATTTTTATGAATTAAAATAAATTTAGCGAGGGTTCACTTTTACCCCTTACTCCCCTATAAAGTGTACCCCATATTCCCCTAATATCTTATGAACTGTTGTTTAAAGACATAGTATTCTAAAACCATGCATAAAGTGCTTATGTTTTACGAAAAATAGAGCTGTGAAAAAAACATTTCCTCCAAAAAGTAGGGGAAAATGGGGTAAAATGGTCCAAAACACATACCTACAAGGCTGTCCGGTCTATGGGACTACGTGCAATCGATTCCCCGGACGATTTCCTTTCGGAAAAGTTGTTTTTCATGGCCGGAATTCAGCGTGCTGTTGAGATATTGAATTTTGGGTAATTTTGGACCCATTTTTGACCATAGTGCATTGGGTGGGTCCCACTTCATCAGGATGTTGAACAGGACGCAGATGCCCTGGAGGTCCATCAAACTTTTCGAGTTCTTCTCACCGCGGATCAACTATAGCTGGTCGCGGTACTTGTAGCCCTAGTTGTGGTGTGCCATCTTGTGAATTTGGACCGGCTTCAGTCCATTAGGAGTACACGACGTTAAGCATACGGACGTTAGGCATACGGACGTTAGG